TAAACAAGTAAAGTCAAATACAAATAACTCTTTCAAGTTTGCAAGGAAACAGCCATGGTTTGACTTACAGTGCGCTAAAGCTAGGCACAATGTGTTTAAACTATTGAGAAAGTACAGAAAAAGCGATGAAATTGAGATAAAAAATGAGTATATTGAGGCCAACAGATCATTAAAAAATTTACTTAAAGCAAAAAAAACTGCTTACTTTGACAATATGTATTTATCTTTGACTCAGGCTAAAGACAGTAAATGTTTATGGAAACTTATAAATAGTTTTAAGATTCAAAGTCCTAATACAGGTGGTCAAGTCAGCCCAAACGAATGGTTAGAACACTTTAAGAGTCTCTTGAACCCGCCCCTGCTGTCAGCCAATGTCTGTTATGCGCTTCCTCTTATTCAAGACGACTTTCTAGATAAAGAATTTAATTTGAACGAATTAAAAACAGTTTTATTGAAAGTAAAGAATGGTAAGGCACCAGGAGCTGACGGAATACCCTACGAGTTCTTTAAAAATGGTTCAGAGTCATTTTTAGTTAAGTTGCTGAATTTTTATAACAATATTTTCAAAACTAATAAAGTACCGAAAAGTTTTAAACAATCAATTATCTATCCTCTGTTTAAGAAAGGTGATAAAAACATTGCTCAAAATTATAGGGGTTTATCATTTATAGATTGCGTAGCTAAGTTATACACAAGTTTACTGCACAACAGATTAAATCTTTGGATAACAGATCATGATAAGCTGTGTGAATATCAAGCTGGTTTCAGGAGTGGCTATTCGACAATTGATAATGTTTTTATTCTTTCAAATGCTGCAAAATTGTGTCTCAGTAAAAAAAAGGGTAAATTATATACTTTTTTTGTAGATTTTACTGCAGCTTTCGATACAATAGATAGAAATGCTTTGTTTTATAAGTTATCATGTCTTGGTATTTCTACGCATATGTTACGCGTTTTAATGGATTTATATAATGGTACTTCGTCAGCTGTCTGGTGTAAAGATGGAATAACAGACTACTTTGAAACAGGCCTCGGTCTAAAACAAGGAGATGTTTTGAGTCCTTTATGTTTTAACTTATTTGTAAATGACATTATAGATTCATTAAGTGGAGGCTGCATTTTTGGAGATGTTCAAATTAAGGCTTTGTTATATGCTGACGACATTGTGTTGATGGCTCCGACGGGAACCAGTCTGCAGTTAATGATAAATGACCTTGAGAGATATTGTCAACAATGGAACTTGACTGTGAATTTAAGTAAGTCAAAGATTATGGTTTTTAGGAAAGGAGGGAAACTGAGGAAAAATGACAAATGGTATTTTCGAGGTGAACGAATCGATGTGGTTAATGATTATAAATATTTGGGAATAAACTTAAATTCTAAACTATCCTGGGGTTTGCATTTAAAACACAAGTGCAGCTCTTCAAAATTAGCAATTAACAGTATTTGGAATACATTTCTAAATAACAAAAATGTACCTTTAAGTAAAAAATTCACTATTTATTTTTCAATTGTCAGATCAACTCTTTGTTATGGGTGTCAAATATGGGAAGTGATTATGTAGATGGGACTCTTTGTTATTTTGTAAAGAAAATTTTAGGATTGGCAAAAAATACTCCCAACTATGCATTGTATCTCGAAACTGGACTAGAAAAAGAGTACATTTATACACTCAGCATGCATGCTCGTTACATCATACATGCTCTGTCACTGCCGCCGAACCGTCTACCAAATAAATTAGCAAAGAAAATAATCAGCGAAAATATTTATTGGAGCAGAGATTGGAAGGGTCTTGGAAGTAAACATGGAATTGAATTATCCTTTGATGTGAATTCCATTGAGGATACCCAGCGACACCTGTTATCAGTAGTAGAGGCAGGGCCGCCCCAAGGGTAATAGACGCCCGGGGCGAGATTTAAATTTTCGCCCCTCCCCAAAAAAGGTATTTGGGGGGTTTGCGTCAACTGTCATTAGACCCAACATCCGATATATCGATATCTAACGTTTTGCATAGTATTCTTTATAAATGTAACAACTAAACTGAACTAAATTACTAAAAACATTGAATCTACGACCATAGATAAAACATATACAATGTTTTGTTTTATCTATGCTACGACTGACAACGGACAGCACAAAACTACTATGAGTTGACGTGAGTTTGTTGAGCTTTCAGGTTAGAAACAAGCAAGTGTATGTGGGGCGTCGCGAATACGCATTGAGTGTCTTGGACTCGCAGTATTGCCAATTTTTAAGTCACATGCCAGACGTAAAAGTAGTAATAGTACGAGTTGTATATTAAATAACGGTATTTATTTTATGAATAAAAAGAAAGCTATATATTGCCTTTTTTTTTAATAGTCATTGTCATTGATTACATGTTTGCGAGTTTCCGGTAAAATATTTGTATGCAGTTTGCCGATAACGTTGTTAATTTTTTTACCTTCCAAAGCCGCGGCGCCCCCCTAGCTGCGGCGCCCAGGGCGGTCGCCCCGCTCGCCCTGCCCTCGGGGCGGCCCTGAGTAGAGGCAGTAAGGGGGGAGAGCAGGCGGGGGTTAGTCCAGGCGGCATTGGCCTCACGATACCACACAACTTATGCTTCACTGAATCTTGACCTTGGAGATAATGGATATCTATCAGATAACGTTCCTGATATTGTTAGACGATGGGTATTCAAAGTAAGGACAGAGACTATTTCCTTAAATTTTAAACCTTGGATGACAGACGCTAATTTTATATGTTCTTTGTGTAATCTAAATGAGAATGAGGACACTTATCATTTTGTTGCTCGTTGTCCAATTTTAACACAAATTAGAAATAAATGGCTATTGAAACCTGTTTTAACTCGCTCAGAGTTTATAAATTTTCTTAAAGGTAAGGATTGGCGTTCGCTGGCAAATTTTCTTAAAGAGGCTTGGAAGTATAGGTGGGATTTGGTTTTAGAATTCAATGTCTAGCAGCAAAACAATATACATATTACAGCTTATTAGAAATATTTCACATTTTTTGTTGTATAAAATAAAATGTTGTCAACCCGGCAGACGGTCTTATGACCATTGCTGTAATGTGCTGTTTTTAGTAATTTTGTTGTTGTTATGCAGAAGATTATGTTTAGTTATAAGTTCATATGTATTTATGCAGTTTATTTTTTTGTTAATAAAGCACTTTTTCATTTCATTTTTTTCATTTCATAATGTCAATGCCCATCTCTGGATCCGAGCAGCAGCAAGAGTGGGGATTCCCTTAGTTTGGCCAGAAGGAAGATCAAGGGTCGATGGTCGGTCACCAATGTGAATTTTCTAGCGTAAAGAAAGTTGTGGAACTTTTTTACTGCGAGGGCTTCCTTTTCTATCTGGCTATATTTTTCCTCGCATTTAGTGAGGGTCCGTGAAGCAAACGCAATCGGACGCTCTGAGCCGTTAGGTAAGGCATGTGATATGGCACAGCCTACACCGTAGTGAGAACTATCGCACGTGACCACTATGTCCTGACTGGGGTCAAAGGCATCAGCACATTATCCCTTAACAACAGGCGCTTACTCTCTTCAAACGCCTTGTCACATTGATTACACCAAAACCATTTGACATCTTGGTTAAGTAGCCTATACAAAGGGTGAAGTAGGGTAGATAGGTTAGGCAAAAATTTTCCATAAAAATTGATTAGTCCTAGATATGACCTCAATTGAGTTAGATTTTGGGGCCTAGGTGCAGTTGCAATAGCTTCAATGAGTTGCTCGCTCTGGTGGATTCTGTTCTCATCCAGGCGAAAACCTAAAAATGTGATACTCTTTTTGAACAGTTCACTCTTAGAATTGTTAACTTTGACTCCGTACTCCAACAGTCTCTTCAACACTGCTTCAACTTTTGTCTTCATTTCTTTAATCGTTTTACTAAAAATCAGAATGTCATCCAAATAGCAGTAAGTGTCATCCGGACCAAACAGAATTTTGTCCATGGTGGCTTGAAACAAGGCACCGGCACTGGTAATACCATATGGCAAAAAGGCGTACCTAAAAAGACCTTTGTGAGTGTTGATAGTTAATAACTCTTGAGATTGTTTATTAACTCTAAGCTGGCTGTAGGCAGAGCGTAAATCGAGTTTAGAGAAAAATTTCGCTCTGGAAATTTTACTTAAAATATCCTCAGGATTTGGCAGAGGATAATAGTCAGTTCGCAAGTTAGGGTTCAACGTTACCTTGAAGTCGCCACAAATGCGAACACCATTGTTAGGCTTAGGAACAACTACAATTGGGGTGCTCCATTCCGCAGTACTATCCTGATAATTAGACAAATTCGTATATACCAAGGAAAAATGTGGTTCGGATTCCACTATAAACTGTAGGTCCCTTAGTTGCCATTAGCTGTATTGGCTATTAATTAACAGCTGTGTCTAAGGAATGTCGGCCTTAGTCACTAACAAGACTACAAGATCGCGCCACTCATCCTACACACATCTCCATTCATACTTGGCTTAAAATACCTACTATGTATGGTCGCCATTTCATAAAACAGTAAACAGTATGTTTTAGTGACCGGGTAAATGACACCCGATTTTTGCAAATCTTCGAGTTCTTGTTCTACAGCCCCACGAAGAGCATAAGGCACGTTCCTAGCCTTACAGAAAACTGGAGTTGTCTGATCCTTTAAAATTAAATCAAGTGACATGTTCTTAATTTCTCCGTGATCATCATCGAAAACTGTTGCATAATTCTCCATTAAACTTGTAACTAAGTCTACAGAAAGGAACATCCTTACCGTTTATCAGGTGAACTTCCATGTCCTTATACCAACCGTCTTGCATCATATTATGTCACATCATATTATGTGTTGTCTTGTATTATTTTACCGTCTTGTAACTTAACAGTATAAGTGTAAATATATGTATCAAGTGTTATTAGACTATTTTTATTTACTTTCCATACAGTTTGAATAGTTTATAAAACACGTGTGTAAAGCATTAAATGAGTTTGGGTAAACAAGAGTCCAATGTATTGTTTACAGCTGGGCGGAGGTGTCAATGGCCTGATTACAGCAAGGTTATCAGCTGGTCTCTGTGGAAGTAGGTCATCCATCAACCAGTACAACTCCTGGCCCAGAGTTTACCTCCAGTCACACTGCACCGCGGGCTGACAACAACTAACTGTGAGTGTTAGGCCTAGATCTTTAATAAAAATGTTATCATTTTCCCAACAGTGCAACAATATTTATTATTTTTAAGTTTTTTACAATTTTTACCTGCATTAATCTAGAAATCAACTCTGGGGTGATTTTCCTACAAAAATTAATTTGAGTTTATATAATTTTCAATAAAAAAACATTGTATTAGTATTTCCTCTTTATTAATTAGGCCCCTACCTGTACTTTTTAATACCTTTTCAATGAAATAATACCTGTATGGAATGCTAACGTGTTGAGTGTAAGAACTTGCAATGTGGCCCTAACTTTGCCAATTAAATTTTGTTAGATTCTTTTTCTTTTTAATTTGATTTAACTTATTTAAATATTTACTCATGTTGTTGATGGTACAATAGGCCTATATAAATTGAATAAATATTTGAAATGTTGTACTATATTATATTTACAATATTACTATAATATTATCCTTGCCTTGGATATTATTTTGACCTATTTTCAATAAGAATATTTTTATACATTTTACAATTAATAATCGCAGTTGTTGTTATTAGATCATATACATTTCAGGAATAGTATATTCCTACTATCTACCTTCATGATAATAATAAATAACTAGGCTAGTCAGTGAAAGATCATCTAACTCTATTCTTCACTATTTATATTCAGCCGGAAAATGTGTTATGATTATAATAAAGTAAATCACTATTATCAATAACCAAACTTTGAAAAATTAACAAATAAAATCTTCCTGTCCACTTTTTATTACAGATGTATGAGTTTAGTGTACTTATAACAATTATTTTTGTAAAAGAAACAAATATTAGACTATTAGATTGGCCATTTTTTGCATCAAGTTTGTAAATTATGTTGACAGATCAAGTATGAGGTTGGTGATTCTAGACAATACAGCTCAAGTAGCAGAGTGGTCAGCCAAGTATGTACTCAAGAAGATCAAGGACTTCAAGCCCGGGCCTGACAAGTATTTTGTCCTTGGCTTGCCTACAGGTGAGGCATATAAAATAATACTGGGCTGCTGTAATAGCACTATGGATTTACATCAATTTAGAATAGCAGGGTAGCTGGATTGGTTTTAGTAACCACATAGTAATCAGACGGATGCCAGTTAAATCCTGAAAAGATACAAAAGTTTTAACAGTTTAAAACTGGACCAACATGTTCTTGATCATTGTGCTTTTAATAACTGACCCTAGCTGAAGAACCAGCAGATCTTAGTCAGTGACAAAGATGTCATCTTATTCAACACTCATCATTCACTCATCCTCCCCTAAAATACAAATATTGCATGCTTTCAAATATGACGGTGGCACCGTAAATTCCAATCTTATCCAATTTATTTGTCAGTGGCCAAAATAATATCACAACACCCTGATACTATTTTTGTTTTTAGCAAATTTCCCATATGGGGAATAAACTATTACCGTAGGTCATGGTAAGACCTAGACCTGGGACCGATTTACTTTACAACTCAGTTGTAAAAATACTTAACTAACATACTCTCTTACCGCAACTTAAAAAATGATTTTTTTATGAGGTGTTCCTTAAGGTCGAGCTCGAAGTTAACTTATATAACTTAATATTGACGGTTTCACTTCTTGCTTTGTTACAACTTAACTCTAATCTACTAATGACGACTAACAGCTAGCTGGATTAGCTGTATACTAATGACGACTAACAGCTAGCTGGATTAGCTGTATACTAATGACTACTAACAGCTATGGGGCCTGGGGCGAGTCTATATACCTATATAAAATCCAATGTATGTATGTTTGTTTGTTTGTCCTTTATGGACTCCGAAACCGCTTTGACAGATTGTAATGAAACTTTCAGGCATTGTTAAACATTATTCAAGGATGGTTTGTGTGAAGTTTGGTGCAGATCCGTCAAAAGGGAGTTTCCCGTGTTAACCTTATGAGTATTCATATTTAAATGGAATTAAAGAATCTTAACAGCTGGTTCAATTTTATTCTGTAATGTTCAATAGCATTAAAAAGTTAATAGGTTTACCAACAGGGTACAACACTATTATTTTTAAAACGTTTTTATTAGCTCGCTTTCTTGTCCGGTACAAATTTTGAAATCAATTTTATACTAACTTCCCGACGAGCTAGAGACTTGAAACTTGAAACATAGCTCACAAATGGAAGACAATGCAATATTATCATTTAATTTTCATATTTCCCTTGGACTACGCCCCATGGGCTTGTTTTTATTAGCTCGCTTTCCTACAAATTTTGTTATCAATTTTAAACGAAGTTCCCGATGAGCTAGAGACTTGAAACTTGAAACATAGCTCACAAATGGATGACAATGCAATATTATATAATTTAATTTTAATATTTCCCTTGGGCTACGCCCCTTTAGCTTCCAAATTTTCCATTTTTACATTTTAAAAGAATGTAAACATATAAATTTGTTGATTCCACTAATTTTACTAATAAAATTTCACATTTTGTATAAGAAAATAGAAGGTAAGTTTTTATTAAATCACAATCTGTAAGTAAACATAAACAATTCAACAAGTAAACAAAATAATAGTTTGAACACATGTTAGAAATAAAATGTAAATAAAACATATGTTAACACCTCCTCCTCTATTTACTGTGCTGCGGCACTTTACGAAGAATCAGCTGGTCAACATGTCTTCTTATTATTCGTCCATCTTCCAGCTGAACTACGTACATTACATGTCCTTGCTTTTGAGTTATATACCCCGAATACCACTTGGACGAACCATTTACATATTCCCGCGCTTGCACTTTATCTCCAACTTTGAAATTCCTTTTTATACCGACTTGGACTCCCTTCTTCTGATATTTGTTCGGTTCTAATGTTGGAACAATTATTGCGAGGTTTGTTCGTACACTCCTTCCAAACATGAGGTGATATGCTGATGTACCAGTTGAATTCGGGGATTGCCTGAGTTGCATTAGAAGTCTTTGGATTTTATTTTGCAGTGTACCCTTTTCTCCCTCCATGGATTTTAACGCCTTCTTGACAGTCTGCACGTACCTTTCAGCCTGGCCGTTTGAGTTTGGATGGTATGGTGCCGTTGTTCTGTGAATAATCCCACATTCATTCATGAAGTTTTTGAACTCTTGAGATACAAACTGTCTTCCATTATCTGAAACTAAGATGTGAAGAAACCCAAAAGTTGAGAAGATTTTCCGTAATTCTTGGACAGTCCATGTACTTGTAGTTGTTTTTGTCTGTATCACATCCACCCACTTACTAAAGACATCCACTAATATCAGGTATTGTTGGCCATCTGTTGGTCCTAAGAAATCAATGTGCACCCTCTCCCATGGATTAGAAGGTTGTTCCCATGGATGGATAGTTTTTCTCGGGTTGTTGCATTTTTCAATGCATTGTCGACATTCAGCTACCATCTGTTCAATATCCTTGTCTATACTTTTCCACCAGCAAAAACTGCGAGCTAAAGCCTTCATTTTTATTTCTCCTAAATGAGCTACGTGTAGTTCTTGAAGCACATGAGGTCTGAGAGATTGAGGTATCATGACTCTCCAGCCCTTCAGTACACAATCATCTTGAATGGACAGCTCGTTATCGTGAAATCCGTATTGTTCAACAGATTGTCCTGATTTCAAGGCCTGTAGGACTGGACCCAAAACAGCATCGTTGAGAGTTTCCTTAGCCACCACAGTACTGTTGATATTGAGTGTTTCCAGTTGATTTATGTGGTACTTCGAGAGGTCATCTACAGAATGATCTTGTACAACTTCGATAGGGAATCGAGAGAGATAATCTGCATTGCAATGATGAGCGGTTTGCCTGTACTCTATATCATAGTCGAACCCGGAGAGAAAGTGAGCATAGTTGAATATCCGTGTTGCCGAGATTGTTGGTAAGGTCTTTGATGGATTAAAAATTGACACTAGAGGTTTGTGATCTGTGATCAAAGTAAATTTGCGGCCATAACAAAACGGGAAAAACTTTTTCAGGCCCCAATATATTCCCAAGGCTTCCTTATCGATTTGAGAGTATTTTTGTTCTGATTTTGATAAAGATCGAGAGGCGAAGGCAATTGGCCTGTCTGTTCCATCCCTATAGCGGTGCGAAAGAACGGCTCCTACACCTACAGGCGAAGCATCAGTAGCTAAGACCAGTGGCAAGCTAGGATCAAAGTGTACCAACACGTCATCACTTGTAATAATTTCCTTAATCTTCAGAAAACTCTGTTCACAAGCAGAGCTCCATGTAAAAGTGTTTCCTTTTCGTAGCAGCCAATTCAAAGGATGTAGCAGTGTAGCCAAATTCTTTATGAATTTGTTGTAATAATTCGCAAGGCCTAGGAAAGTTCGGAGTTCAGTTACGTTTTCTGGTCTTTTACATTTTAAAATGCTCTGTATTTTAGCATCTGACTTGTGTAGTCCTTTGCTATCGATCACATGACCTAAGTACTCAATTTTGTTCTGGAAAAACTTACACTTTTCTCTATTTAACCTCAAATCATTTAACTTCAGTCGTTCAAACACCTGTTCCAGTCGGCGAAGAAGCTGTGTCCTGTTAGATCCTTGGACAATTACGTCGTCAAAGAAACATTGTACGCCTTCTATGTTATGTAGTGTTTTGTCCATGAATCTTTGCCATAACAAGGGTGCCACTTTTACATTAGTCTGTTCACTTTAAACAGCCCTTTATGAGTACTGATCGTTTGCATGATGGCACTGTCTTCGTCCATCTCCATGTGCAAGTATGCGTTACTGATATCAAGAGTACAAAATATCTTTCCACAATGCGTCTTTGACATGATATCATCGATCCGAGGTATAGGGTAATGTTCGTCTTTAATAACTTTGTTCAAAGTCACCTTGTAGTCAGCACATATTCTGACTGAACCATTGGGTATGACAACCGGCACAATGGGTGTCCCCCAATCGGATGATTCGACACGTGTGATTATACCCAAAGTCTCCAGTCTTTCAAGTTCCTTCTCTACTTTTTCTTGTAATGCATATGGCATGTGTCTAGGTTTGATGTAAATTGGCTGGGTTTCGTCTTTGACATTAAAATGACCCTTTTCGTTTGGTATTTTCCCAATGCCTTCTTTGAAAATGTCTTCGTATCGAATCATCAAATCATCTAGTTCTTGAATGTTTTCGTTTTCACTTGAATTTAATGAATGTATGTCAGCTGCATCAAGTTGAATCTCTCTTATCCATTCTCTTCCGAATATAGAGTCTACACACTTGTTAACAATGTACAGTTTTCCAACAAAACCTTGATCTTTATACTGAACATTTACAAAAACAACTCCTCTAGGATTGATTATTTCCCCAGTGTATGTTTTGAGTTGAACATTTGTCTTGAAAATCCTTTTTGAAGAGTTTAAGAGCCTAAATGTATCATATGATACGATGCTAAGAGCCGCTCCTGTATCTAATTCCATTGTCATGAGTCGTCCTTCCACTTTTACCTCGAGCATAAACTTGTCATTTGATTTTGAATGAAGTTGGTAAATTTCATGAGTGTCATCATCGCTTGTATTTTCTGCGGTTTCATCTGATTGTTTTACTTCTTTGTTTGGTTTTCTTAGACATACTCTTGCTAATTGACCAAAACGTTTACAAGAGTTGCATTCTGCATTTTTGAACTTGCATTGATGTGCTCTATGTGAATCATCACCACATCTATAGCATTTGTTCCTCAGTTTCTCCAATCGAGTTTGATACTTAGAGAGTTGTATATTGTTAGATTTACATAGTTTCCTATCTGGTTGTTTGTTCTTGCTTTTTACTTGGTGTACTTCCTCTTGATTCTCATTTGTTTTTACTATTCTGCTCTCACTTTTTGCTAGTTCCAATGTAGCAGCCTTTTCGACTACTTCTTTAAAAGGTTGCAATAGTTTATCTTGAAGAAGTTGAAGACGTATTTCAGAGTCTTTTAGTCCCCTGACAAACTGCATTCGAAGTAGAATTTCAGATACAGATTCATTACAACTTGTACAAGTAAACTGACATTCTACACTGAGCTTTCTAAGAGCATTAGCGTATGCTTGTACAGATACGTTACATAATTGGGTACGTGTCGTAAATTTGTGCTGACGAGCCCAAATACTGGGTTTTGGTTCTAGTTGAGCCATTAACATTTGAATCAATTCCTCATATTGCTTGTTATGTGGGTCATCTGGTATGCAAAGATCGTATAGCTGTTCATGTATTTGTGGGGTGATTGCCTGTAAAAATAAATCCACTTTGACTTTTGGACTTAAGTTTCCCCGTAATTTTGCGTAGTTTTCAAAGCGTCGAGTGAAGTTTTGAAAACTTTCCTCTGGTGTATACGGCTGGAAAGGAATATTAGATACATTTTGACATGTTGCAGAAGCAGAAATTGCTGTATGTGTATCGTACTTTTTCTTTTCTGCTTCAAGGAATGTCCGTATCTCTTTATATATTTCTTCTAACTGCCATCGAATTTCTAATTCACTTTCTACTGAATTTGTGTGAAGTTCAATATTTGACTGTGTAACTTCAATTTCAGCCCATATTGCTAAAAGTTTATCTGTGTAGTAAGTGCATGTATCTTGAGAATGTTCACATGCTGGTAAATCCTCCTTGAGTTTGTTCAAGCGTAGTTCTATTTCCTATTCTTTAGACATAAGTCAAATTCTTTTCTACTTACCATTTTACTCGTCGCCATTGTTGATTCCACTAATTTTACTAATAAAAGTTCACATTTTGTATAAGAAAATAGAAAGTAAGTTTTTATTAAATCACAATCTGTAAGTAAACATAAACAATTCAACAAGTAAACAAAATAATAGTTTGAACACATGTTAGAAATAAAATGTAAATAAAACATATGTTAACAAAATTAATTTAAGTCAGCTGTAAATACTTAAATTTGACAGTTAGAAGAGCAGAGGTTAAGAGGTACAGGTTCTACTCCCGAGATATTCTAAAAATATAAAACAATCATTTCAAAGTAAAGATAAAACATGTGATTACAGATAAAAAGGTTTTGGGTTTTGGTTATGTATTAAGAGGCTATATAAAATAGATTTAACATATTTACACATTAAAGACTAAAAACTAGTTAATAATTTATAAATAAAAATACTTTTAAAAAATGCCACGTTTTTAAACACACTAAATAGTATAAAATAATTTATAAAATGTTGAGAGAATAAATACTTGTAAGATTTAAAACGAAAAACGTGGGGGGCATGCAATAGATCATAATAGTTCAATAAGTGAAGTTAATTGTAAATCAGCATGCGCCCCACGTTTTTCGTTTTAAATCTTACAAGTATTTATTCTCTCAACATTTTATAAATTATTTTATACTTTTTAGTGCGTTTAAAAACGTGGCATTTTTAAAAAGTATTTTTATTTATAAATTTTTTAATTTATGACACAGCTAATTTGCAACTAAAAGGTGAGTAAGCTTAGCGAACGAAATTCAACCTGTAGGCGAGTTAGCGTAGCGAACAAGCTAACCTGATGCAAGTGAGCGCAGCGAACGACAAACAACAACTATAACAAATTTATAACAAATTTTTACAAATTATAACAAATTTTTATAATAGTTTAATTAATGTAAAGGTGAGTGAACATGGTGAACGAACTTCAACCAGGACGTAATTGAGCCATGCGAACGAGCTCATCTTGAAAATGAACGAGCATTAACATAAAACCACATTAGGACAGGACGACGTCTGTCGGGCCAGCTAGTAGGAAATAAATCAGACAATTTTAAGGGAATATCTTAGTAGAAATCCAGCCAGGAAAATGTAAATTTGCTTAGTCTGCAGGTTTGCTGCGGCGGGTTTTTTTTCTAGTGATAATAATTGCATGAAACTTTATTTGTTTCAGGAGGAACTCCACTTGGAATGTATAAGAAGCTCATAGAGTTCTACAAAAATGGCAAAATATCCTTCAAATATGTTAAAACCTTCAACATGGATGAGTATGTTGGTATGTTTTACTTGTACCTATTTGCTAGAGTCGGAGTTGGTTATAGATATGGACTTCTGTCCTGGAGCCAGGGCCATATTTCTGAATAGGCGGACTAGGCGCGTGTCTAGGGCGACAGATTTTAGGGAGCGGCAAAATTTTGGAGGATAAATAATTAGAAAGGAGGGTTTAATATAAAAAAAATATATTGTAGCAATTAATTTTGAGAACAAAAAAAATGCTATTTTAAATACTTAGAGTATAAAATTATTTTAGAACATATTAAAGTCAAAGTTGATCATTTATTGTGTTTTCCGTGCTGCCCTGTTGGTCTGGCAAACACGTTGCGGCTCCCCATGCTTTCAATCGTTACTACGCAGCGGCATGTATGGCATCTGTAATATGGACATACTGATGTAAGATAAGAATACTGATGTGAGCTGGTGATCGATCTCATCACTTATCAGATGTTGAAGATAGCTTCTTTTATGAGGTTGTACACTTTAAATCCTATATTGAAAGTGTCAAGGCAAGACTTAAAAAATAATGAAAACACCAGCTAATATGAAAAACAAAACTGATATTAAACTCGAACTTGAAGCCAAATGTCCAAGAAAAATCCTAACAAAATCACTCCGCTGAGGCTTTTGAAGGAAATCAGAGAAGAAGATCTTCAATCAAATTTTCCAAATGTAGATATAGTCATAGCGTTAAGGATATTTGCAAACACTTTTAGTCAGATCTACTTACTTTTTTCCATTTCAATTCATAAAATAAAACAGTTTTGCAAATAAACGTCTTTGTGATTGCATATCTGACTAAAATTGTTTAACGAAAAACGTTATAAGAAAAATTCTATGCAGACTTGTTTTTTAGCCGCAAAACGCGTTTATATGACTCTTTTGATTGGACACAACAACATTGTATTCCTTGTATCCAAAACAGGATCGCATTTTGCATGAAAAAACGTCTGTAAAAAGGTCTCAAAATGTTATTAGATTTGTTGATGCAGCATGCAATTGCCGATTAATTTCTTACAAAATCAGCTGACAGGGAGTGTATTGCGGTAATCTTTAATGATGTCGGAGAGAGCGCTGACGAGTGGTGGGGGGAGGGGGCGGCAAACTTCGCTGCCTAGAGGCGGCAGATAGTTCAATATGTCCCTGCCTGGAGCTTGGGTTATTAAAATCCCCCAAACTTGACCTTTAGCTATTGTATCTTTTAGATATTTAGTATAGTAACTCCATCTTGACTTTTGTTATAAATCTTAAATCTTCTTTTGTTTATTTGGTAAAAAACCGGTTCAGCCGACCTGGAAACCGAAAACTGGTAATTGTACATCAATTTTGATAAGTGGGAAAAAAATTTGAATTGTATGTGAATTTTGTAAAGAACTGGGAAATTTAAATGTTTGAATAGTAACTGATAAATCTGCCCGAAATCACAGATTTATCTTGTCTTGCTTGATCTATCTTGTTGGAAAATCGCGATCGCGGCAGAAACTATTACGAATAAGGGACTTTGCTGAGATTGCAAGAAATGATCATTGCTGATTCCGCGATCGCAGGAAATCATCACGTGTGTTGCAAGAAACTTTTACAGATTTAGCCGCAATCGTGTTTACAACGTTACTGTATCTGACGTTAAAGAGATGGCAAGTAGTAATCAGGTTTCGTTTAGTTTTTGTTTCGTTTCTTTTGGTTTAGTTTTGTTTTGTGTTGAAAGAGCCAAAGCCCCCCGGCTGCAACCCGGTACCTATAATTAAACATACCCGGGCCCCATGGTGTAGGCCGGAGCATACGCACCAACCTTAGACACACCATGGGTGGATGACTTAAGGTCATCAGGCCCACCGGCTGCCGGAGCAACCCTTCGGAAAGAGGGTTGCCCCTCAATCCTAACTAGGGATACCGGTTACTTGGTCTTACGTCCCTCCAACTGGGTTCCCCCAGGGCCGAGACCCCGACAAACCATGATGGAGTACATGGACGCAACATAGTGCAAGCGACACTCGGGACCTATCTAATCCCTGACAGGCCATAACCCGCCATCAAAGCCAGGAGGAAGGGGACCGTCCCAACCTCCTATTTACACCACTATCCGATCGAGGCCATCCCATTCGCTGGGAAACCAGGGATAACTAGGGCGATAGATCCCCAGATACCCCCAGCGGGCTTGATCCCAGCACCCGATCTATTTATCTACTATTTATCTATTTATCTACCGATCTACTTCATTTGCCCATCTAACCCAATATCATTGCCGGGCCATCAGGGTTTCCCAAAAGGAGGCAGGTATAGAAGTGGAACCCACCCAGATGAACCTATCCACCAAAGGTGGCGACACCCTTAACTCAATTGAGGTTCCATGGAGAACCCCCCACACTCTAGATAACCATACCTTCCGGGCTCAGAGACAGGGATTGGCTGATGGAGTGCGCACTGCCGTTGCCCTCACACTGCGGAAAGTTCCGTTCCCCTAGAGTGTCCCCGTGAGCTTACGGTACTTGCCCGATTTCACCTCCAGGAAAGGCTACTTCCAAAGTCGAGGATTTGCCACACAAAATGTTGGTCGCACAAAGCAAGCAGGCCGAAACCCATAGGACCATAGTCACAGGTAGTTGGGAGAATTGATGGCGCACTTCCACCTCTCCGAGAGCTAAACACCCCACCAACCTGGATGGAGGAATGTCACTGGGGGCTCCCCCTAAGGGGCTGGCGTTTCCCAGACGTACATGACTATGGCCTACTTGAAATGCCGATTCCAACACCGTACAGTTACCTCCCCTTTGGGGGCTTAGCAATTGCCCGTCTTTCACCTCCCAGGAAGAGGCTACTTCCAGAGCCAAAGATATGCCTCACAAAATGTCAGTCGTACACAACAGGCAGGGCAGGCCCATAGAACCACAGCCACAGGTAGGTGAGAGAATTACACTCTGAGAGCTAAACACCCACCATCCTGGATGGAGGAATGTCACTGAGGGCTCCCCTAAGGGCTGGCGATCCCAGTCGTCCATAGCTGTGGCCTTACCTGAAGTGCTGGTTCCAACACCGAACAGTTACCTCCCCTCTGGGGCAGTAGTAATCACGACTGTAAGTAGTGATCACGACTGCTGTCACGATCACGGGGAATCTTCACGAATTTCGCCACGATTATAAGATGATTTGAGATATGGCCGCAAACAAAAAAAAATAGTTGCAGGAGTTGAAATAAACCCTGGAGATGATTGTGGATGTTGCCCTGATATAGTAAATCATCACAGCTGTTATCACGATCGTTGTATATTATAATTTGTGTTGTGTGTTATTTCTATAAGGTATATTATAATAAAAGATGGGCCGATACCAAAAATCGTCGATACCAATACCGATACCACCAAAGTACTCTCGATACCTATCGATACCGATACTTCCGATACCTATCAAAATATTAGCTGGAATCAAATAAAACATTAATTTTAATATGAACACATTTATTGTCAACGCTAAATAAGCAGAATATCTTTGTTTATACATACACATTTTTGTACCTGTATTAGTGTGTTATGTATGATTTAAACAAACCCTATTTGAAACACAAGAAAAAGCACAACAAATTGTAATTTGTTGGGATCATCTACACTTTCATCTTGGCCTAGGCCTATATTTTCTTCCCCAACTGTTGGTTTGTTCAATTTCCTCTAGAAAAATTAACGTTGATGGTGAAGTTTCAGATGTTTAATGTGGTTAGAAGTCGCACAAGACTTACCCCCACAAGAAATATCTTTTTTGAACAGTTTACATTTTGTCACATCACTACTTTCACTAATAAAATTAAAAAGGCCCACACATTACTTTTATGCTTACTCATATTAAATAAAAAAAAACTATATCATTCATTAACTAAAATCAAAAGAAATTCAATTAGAACCAATGTGAAAAAACAATAACATAACCTCAACAGTCAACATACGTATGGATCATACAACATACACTGTAACTGCAACACCCCGATCGTGCATATAACAGGGCTACTGCATCTCTAAAACGCTAACGGTGATTGGTTTATTGTCGTCCTCCGATTCAAAACCAGCCAATGAGAAAGGTTCTAATAAGTTAGTAAAGACACTAGCACTCGGTGCGGCGTTCAACAACAATCCAAGTTTCAATGTCGCTAAAATATAGTACGTGATTGGTTGATCGTCGTCGCAGGGCAGTAGGTGAGTCAATGAGATCGTGTCTATTAAAATGCCAAGGACACTAGCGCTCGCAGTGGTGATCAACCAAACCAAGTATCATCCCTAGAGTTGAAAACTAGCCAATAAGGTTGTCTCTACTACTAAGTAGGCAAACAGCTAGGATTCGTAACGGCAATTTACCCCCTCTGAACTAACTTAATCCGCACCGATTCATACAGTTCAGTGTCAGTAATCAGTATCGGTATCGAACCCAAAACAGGCAAGTATTGAGTGAGAGTATTTTGGTATCGAGTATCGGTATCGGCCCACCTCTAAATAATTATTATTACTGCGATCATGAGAAATAATCGATGGTGTTGACATGATCACCGGGAAGATAAAAAGATATTGCCGCGATCGAAAGGCATTATCACATGTGTTCCCGTGATCGCGAGAAATTAACATGGATTTTGTCAAGATCGGAAGTAATGGCCCACCTCTAAATAATTATTATTACTGCGATCGTGGGAAATAATCCAAAGGTTTTTTTGGGATTTTAAGATAAGTTTACGGATGTCCGACATCGCAAGAAATCATCACGAGTGTTACAGCGATTGTGGCAAAGTAACCCAGTTATTTCCACGATTGTAGGAAATAACCAGAAGTGTTGACATGATGATCACAGAAGTATTGTTTTTTTCAGCGGCAAATTTTGTCTTGGAAATTTAAAATTTGAACCTGGAACTGGAATAGTCCTTGCTAGCTGGAAAGCTAGACACACTGGAAACTGAATTGACTTAAAAAAAAAAATTGATCACACCATGGGCGCTGAGAGAAAATTGTTTGGGGGTTTTGTTATTATTAATAATAACTTAAAAATATATTTTGTTACTTTTATTTCTTTTGTGATTTCAATCGTAATTATTTTTCTATCAATCCCATCTTGTAACAAAACTTCAATCTATATACATTTAATATAATTTATGATAGGAAAGAATTTGAATTGACTTCCAGAACAATTTTTCTAGATTTCTTAGTTTATTCATTTTAACACATAGACAACAGTAAAACACACATGATGATTCATTGTTTGGCAGGGTTGCCAAGGGACCACCCTGAAAGTTACCATTTCTACATGTTTAACAACTTCTTCAAGCACATTGACATAGAGCCGAGCAACGTGCACATCTTGGACGGCAATGCAACAGATCTGGCGGCCGAGTGTGCCAGCTTCGAGGCCAAGATAACTGAGGCCGGCGGAGTGCATTTGTTCATTGGGGGTAAGTAGGCCACCTCAAAATATATTTATAAGTTGAAAACATATCCTCTAAATTTACATGAATG